GCCCGGTCCTGCTCCATCCTCACAATCGTTATGCTTGAGCCCATTGTTGCAGCCACTGTGTCAATCCATCCTGTTGGGGGTCTTGCTCTTTTTCACTGACTCTCTACTTTACCAAGCATGATGTCCTTCTCCAAGGACTGGTCCCTTCTGATAACATGTCCAAGGTATGTGAGACGAAGTTTCGCCATCCTTGCTTCTACATACAGTTTTTTCATTTCCTTCACCAGAATTTTTCTTCTTAAATCTATTGATCCATAGTAATAGCCTTATAAGAGAATATTTTGTTCTTAGAATTTTTAGTGAATTCTGGAAGAGATAAGTGACTCTGAGGAAGAATACATCTAAAAGACGTAGCAATTATGAGAAATATTCCCTACAGGACAATTTAATAAAGGAAGTTTTGGAGTTAACACTTTAAGGGGGTGAGAATTGTATTGAGTACTCTTAATTAACAACTTTATTTGGCCAAGGAGGTTGATGATAGCACTGAGAGAGGTGAGAATTGAATTCTGAAATTTGTGAATAAACTGACTGTGGGAAGAAAGAAAGGAATGATTTGCTAAGAAGAATTATAAGAAAGCCAATAGCTCATTCACCAGCCTTTCAGCAAATAAAGCAACTGGAAAATCTAAGTGTGAGCTGACTCTAGAAAAAAATTTCACTTTTTTCTTCAAGAAAAAAGCAGAAAAGTCTCACAAAGAAAACAACTAAGAGTTTTGAAGCTTGAAGCTTAATGTATAATACAGGAATATAATCTGAATAATTTTTCTTGAAAAATTTTTCTTAAAACTTCTCGCTCCCTTTTCATCTTTGTTGTCCCCTAAAATCTCTCATTGATCTACTCTGCCAACTGTTGTATGGGTCATAGGATGAGGTTAGTACTCTCTCTGCTCAGTAACAGTATACTTTGAGCCATTGGTCAACAACATTTAACGGACTCTACTTTGTAATTTATATCAACTGTAAAGATACCTCATCTAACAACTCCAAGGCATTTACCAGCTCACTTGTATTTTTCCTCTACAGTTCCCATATCATCCTGAGTAGTTTCGACATCCATGTTTAGGTTCTAGACACTATCACAGCTTCAAAGTTCCTCAAACTTCTCTATCCATCATCATTCACCTATATTATACCTTGGTAATTCACTCATTTATTAAATAATAAACTCTTTACATAACATCCTAATTTTCAACCCTTCCTACTTTTATATAAAATGTGTTCTTCACCCTTGTGAAAATCTAGCTTAATTGGATCTCACCTTGTCTAATATCTCCAATCTCTTTCTCTCTCTCTCTACTAATACCTCCACCTCAGAACAACATGCTTAAGTCATACATATAAAAAAGATGTAATCCTCCCCCCAAAGCTATTCATCTTTCATCTCTCCTTCCCTCTTAAGACACTGAATACTTAAAATCGTAGTAAGTACTTATCACCTCGTCCATACTCACATCTCCATTTCTTCATTCCCCACTTACTCTTCTAATCCAGCAGTCTTAGCTTCCAAACCTAATCTTGAAGGTGTCCGTTCCTGATGCCATCTTTAACTGCCCAGTTTACTGGTCTCTTACTAGTTCTAATTCTAACTGGGTTCTCTTGAGCATGGACATGATCAAGGGCTTCTTTATTCTTGAGACTCTCTTTGTCTAGATTACTTACTAGTTCTCCCCTAATCCACCTTAAGCATCTTTGTTTGTCCTCCTCCCTCAGCATCACTCCTAAATGAAGGCGTTCTCTTCCAAAACTCCTTCTATGAAAAATTACATCATTTTCCAATGTTTCAACTTCCTATTCTCAAATTTTAAATTCTTGTTCTGTGACCTTCTCAAAAATTCAGACCAATACTTCTAAGTAACTATTGGGCATTTCCACCTAGAAGGTTGAAAGGCACTCCAAATCACCACACACACAATTAAACTCTCTGCCATCCCTACTCTTAACATTCCCCTCACTGTGTTACCATCAACATCCTTCGTCTAGGTGAATAAGTGGAAAAATCAGAGTTATTCCCGACTCTCCCTCTTGCCTCAAACTCCATTCTCCCCTCAGAATGCTCCATCAGTAAGCATTTAGGAGGATGGTATGTATACACACACACACAGCCCTAAGAGATGGCTAACTCTCAGCAAAATTAATTCTGAAGTATGTCTTACGTATGTTCCCTAATTTCTATTCCCATTGCCCCCAGTCTAGCCCCATGTATTTAATTCTTACAATGTTGTAATACCCTAGTGACTCCTTTGTTACCCATTCATTCTTCCAAAGGTTATGGTGTTTCTTCTAAAACACAGACATGACAAAGCCTAATATCTTACTCCAATCTACATTTTCAACGTTATTTCTCTCAAACAACCCACCAACCATATCAGGTTTCCTAGCTTTCCCCAAACAAGTACTTTCACACCTCATCATATTTACTCATCACCCCATCTGCCATGATTTCTCTGCCAAGCAAAATTCTACTCATATCAAAAGTCACATTGTCTGTGAAGTCTTTTCCTACAACCAGTGAAAATGTTGAGTTTTCCTTCAACCCTGTGACCCTGAAAAACAGTGAAGGTTAAGAAATCCTCTCTTCTTCGTGCTCTGGGAAATGACTTATTGTAAAGAACCACCCTCCCCCACACGAGTTGGATAAGACTTCTAGGCAGCCCTTGTTTACCTATGACAAGACCAGACACTAACCTTCTAAATTCTCATTTTTGCCTCATAAATGATGAGTTTAACTGCTCAGTCCCCATTGATCAGTCAGAACAAAATGCTTGTTAACCAAACTTTGGCTAACTGTCTCTCTCTCTCCCCTAAGTCCCTGAACTGGCTCACCCTCAGCTTGAGCCCCCATACAATCCCTAAATAGTTTGCACTCGGCTGGCTACCTAAAGGTTGGCAGTCGAACCCATCCAGCAACACCACAGAAGAAAAGGCCTGGCAATCTGCTTCCCTAAAGATTACAGCCAAGACAACCCTCTGGAGCAGTTCTGCTCTATACCACATGGGGTTGCCATGAGTGGAGACAGCACAAGGCAACAGCAGCAAACAAAACAAACAAAAAGAACAGGTGAAGAGTCCCTGCCCGAAAACAGCCTGGCCCCAGTGTAAAACATTCTCTGACCTACTATCTGATAACACTACCCTTTCACCCTACTTCCCCACCCCTGGTTCTTTTTAACACTCACTCCCCTATAAAGGAAATTCTGGTGGCACAGTAGTTAATAAAGAAAACCCTTTTTTGTCTAACTCCTGAGAAGCTTGCTGATGTGACGGTCAAGTGTTCCCCTACTGTAACAGTCCCTCCCACTACTGCATAATCACTTTTATCCTCTTGCCATAATCCTTTTCAATCAAACTAAGTCTGCATTGTTTCTTATTTAACACTAGAAAAACAGACCCACACACAGACAGTCAACTGTGTTTGTTTGTTTTTAAAGTAAAGACAATGAAATGGGAAAAGGAGAAGTCTTTTCAACAGTGGTGCTGTAACAGAATGAACATATGAGGAAGTAACTGAACCTTAACCCACACTTTAAACAATACACTAAAATTAATCAGAGATGAGTGAGGCCAAGACACAAATGCTACCCATAAAACTGCTAGAAGAAAACATTAGAGGGTAACATTATATCCTGACCATAGGCAAAGATTTATCAGGATTCAAAAACCATTAATTATAACAAAAATTTGATAAACTAGACTTCATCATAATTAAACAGTTCTTCAAAAATGCTCTCAGAGAAAATATTTACAATACATATATCTGACTTTGGAAAACGTTGCCAATTTCATGTAGTTAAATAACTACCTACCTTACAAACTAGCAATTATACTCTTATCTACCCAAAAGAAGAAAAACATATGTGCCCAAAAGATCTGTGCATGAACATTTATAAGATCTTCATTCATTATAGTCAAAAACAACCAAATGCCCATCAACAGAAGAATGAATAAAACACTAGTATATTAATAAAGATTAAAAAAAACCAAACCCATTGCCATCGAGTCAATTCCGACTCACAGCGACCCTATAGGACAGGGTAGAACTATCCATAGAGTTTCCAAGGGATGCTTGGTGGATTTGAACTGCTGACCTTTTGGTTAGCAGCCCTAGCTATTAACCACTATGCTATCAGGGTTTCCCAGTATATTCGTACAGGAAAAAACTTCTCTGCAACAAAAGAAGAATAACTACTGATATATCCAACAAGACAGATGAGTCTTAAAAACACTAAGTTGAGAGAAAAAACCGTATGCTTCCATTTATATAAAATTCCCAAGAGGCAAAACTAATCCATGGTGATAAAAGCCAGGCTACTGGTTGCCTACATGCTATGGATTTTGACTGGATAGGAGCAATAAGGGAGCCTTCAGGAGTGATGGAGTCATTCTATATCCAGATTTGAGGGTTGGCCTAGGTCAGTGCCTTTACTGTATGAAATGTTATCTTCAAGGTGGGGAGGGAGAGAAAATATTCCAGTTAAAAGACCCTCTTAAAAGGAGGAAAAGGCAAAATACAGACTGAGAGAAAGTATTTGCAAACAACATACCTGACAAAGGACTAGTATCTAGAATATATAAAGAAAACTCAGTAAATGGACTTCCCTGAATAGAAGTGAGTCCTCCCTACTAAACTGTTAAAATAGAAGATGTTTAGGTGGGGGTGGGGGCGGGTATTTCCTTCCCCATAAGCTATAATTAGGTGCATTACAAAGCACTGCCTGAATCATATATTTTACCTTTATGCAGGGCATATAGATAGCATAAATCTGTTTTCATGATTATATGTGTAATTGGTCAATAAATATTTTACATGTCCTCAATAAAAGAATATCAGTCGACCAAAGTCATTTTCTAGAATACACTGATTTTGAGCTTATTTTTAAATGCACATAGTTATACCTGAAACAACATCAAACGATTGTTTCTCTTACACATATGTATCATAAAATAAATACATACGGCTGGGATAACAATCTCTAAAAGTTAACAAACACATAAATTACCTGCACACAGAACACTGCCGCTGGGGCTGAAGAGCTGTGAACATAACAATCATAGAATAGTTTCGAGGTGGTGTCTTTATAAATTTCCGGAATTTATCACCATTCATTCGGAAGATTGAGCGTCTGGAACTCCACTCCATCAGCTGTTCTACTTTCTCAGCTAAAAGGTTCTGGAATTAAATACAGGGTTAAAATCCTTTAGTTTGTATTTCCTGTAAACAAAATTATATAAGATTGTATTTTACCCAAAATGAACTTCTGTGAAAAGTCCACTGTGGTGAATATATTCATTGTTAAGTGGCCATATATGCATAACATATTTCATTGTTAAGTGATCAAACATGCATAAAAAATAAAAATTTTTCCTAATAATTTCATGAGAAGTAAAACAATTGTGTCCACTTCCAGAAAGATGGAATAGATGTACTTTTCCCTAATCCTTCCACTAAATGCAGCTTAAAATTCATCATTAACATAAACAAAAAAGGCACACTAGGAGCGTAAGGCAGAGGAGGAGGAGGAGAGGAGCTAGGGCCGTCGGGCCAGAGGGACCACACAGCGGCTCCTCAGGCTCCTCAGGCTCCTCAGGCTCCTTCCTGGTATTTCCCAGGCTGGTCGCTGCAGAGGCTAACAAGCCAGGAACACCGATGGCAGCAGACAAAAGGCCCTGGAAAGAGCCTGCTCTGTCTACCCACAGGGTGAGGAAAGCGGCAGCAGAGCAAGATAAACTCTTACACAGTAACCACTCCAGTCAAACACCACAGGAAAACACTGCAGCCCCCCAACCAAACTCACTAGAAAAGGCTGCGTGGAGGGCTTCAACGCCTGCCCTCCCTGCGCGGGCCACCCCCGACACGGTGGCAGCAGAGGGAGCCAGGATTTCCACGTGCCCCCCCCCCCACCTTCTCGTTAGGGTACAGTTAGAAGACAGCAGTGAGGCCAGCCCTCTCATCTCACTGTGTCAGTGGACGCCACAAGGGAGCAGCAAGGAGGTAACGCTGCCAGGGCTGTATTAGACAGAAACTCTGCTGGTGTAGTGGTTAAGTGCTCCAGCTGCTAACCAAAAGGCCGGCAGTTCAAATCCACCAGGCGCCCCTTGGAAACCCTATTGGGCAGTTCTACTCTGTCCTATAGGTTCAACCGCAATGAGTTTTTTGGTTTGGTGGGGAGCTGAAGTCCCTGAGTACTGCAAACGGTTAACATAGTCATCTGCTAACTGAAAGGCTGGAGTTTGAGTCTACTCAAAGGCACCTCAGAAGAAAGGCCTGGTGATCTACTTCCGGGAAAAAAAAAATCCTACGAGTACAGTTATACTCTGACACACATGGGGTCCCAAGAGTCCGAATCGACTTGCCGGAACTGACAGTGGGGAGCTAGAAGTCCTCCTCCCACCCAGCAGTAACCGGGAACCCCACCCCGTCCACCAGACGTCAACAGAAGCCACCTCCGCCTCGCAGGAGTGAGGCTGTGCCCCTCTCTCCCTGGAGGAACTGTGTCAGAGAAAGCCTCTTAAAACAGCCACAGTCTCATAACAAAACTAAAAAAAACCCATTGCCACTGAGTCGATTCCAACTCATAGCGACCCTACAGGACAGAGTAGAACTGCCCCATAGGGCTTCCAAGGAGCGGCTGGTGGATTCGAAATGCTGACCCTTTGGTTAGCAGCCAAACTCTTAATCACTATGCCACCAGGGTCTCATAAAATAATACTTAAAATGATCAGCCCTCAATCCAAACATCACTCACCATACGAAGAACCAGGAACATCTCAAACTGAATGGGAAAAGACGATCAACTTATGCCAATACCAGGATGATATTAGCATTATCTGACAAGGATTTTTAAAGTAAAATACTGCTTGCCACTTTCTTTTTTATGACCATCAAAAGCAATTCTGCTTGGAATCCACTTTTATCATGTTAATAGAAGAATGTTGCTTTTGAATTTATATACTATGACCGCTTTCCTAAGGCATTTTAGTTTTTATATTCTATAACCTATGGGACTCATGCAAATCTTCACACACACACACACACACACACACACACACACACACACACACACACCAGGTTCTCTCTCCATCAGGAAGAACAGCACAGTTATGGGTCAAGGTCAATGTCAAGGACCTTACTGGGCTATGAAGCTTGTCAAGTAGAACTTGCTGTGGTTTCTCATACAGTGGGAAAAATATTTGCAATACTTAATCTGACAAACGACTTGTATGCAGATTATATACAAAACGCTAGAAATCAATAAGAAAAAGGCAGAAAAATACCAAAAATACTTAATATTTTAGTATACTTTTAGGATACTTTTCTCATTAAACACAACAGTTTCTTTTCACTACTCTTTAAATTTCTAAAATAATCTTACTCTATTTTTCTTGTTTAGATAATCACGTAATTACATTACATCAATATGCAGTTATCAAAACACGAAATAACTGTGAAGGGTCAAAGATTTTACCCTACTTGCAAGCTGTCAAGTATGTTTCATAGATTCTGGCAGAAATAAGGCTCCTGAGTCAATGTGAACGCTGAATAAAAATAAAATATAAAAGACAATTACAGCTTCTAGAAACCAAAATATCAGTGATTAAGCACTAAGCCACCTCATCTACTTTATAAACTGATTGTTCACTACAGCAAAGATCACCAACAGCTTGAGAAAACTCACACGATGACAGTGAGCTACACAACAAACAGTAAAAGTACATCGTTTTTATCAACAACATAAAATGCACAGCCTACACACACCATACTGAAAGTAAAGATTCAAACGAAGTCAATCAATTAAGAACTCTGCAAATCATGGTATTGTTACAGGAAACATAATCTGCACAGTTTCAGAAAACTTCAACCATTATTTTGTTCAAAGGTGAAAAGGTGAGAGACTCAAAATACACTAATCAAACCAAAAATTATTTGACATAGTATAATTTCCAAAAAGGAAAATAATAAAACAATTCCATTTACAATAGCATCTAAAAGAATAAAATATCTACAAAGAAGTTTAACCAAGGGGGTGAAAGACTATACACTGAAAATTATGAAACATTGCTGAAAGATGATTAAAGACCTAAATTTAAAAAAAAAGAAATCATGTCCATGGATAGGAAGACTTAATATTGTTAGAATAGCAATACTGCCCAAAGCAGTCTAAAGAGCCAATGTGATTCCAATAAAAAATTCCAACAGTCTTTTTACAAAAATGGAAAAGCCAGTCTTCAAATTCATATGAAATTGTAAGGCACCCCAGACAACCAAAACAATCTTGGAAAAAAAACAGAACAAAGCTGGAAGATGCACACTTCTTGATTTCAAAACTTCATGAAAAGCTACAGTAATCAAAACAGTATGGCACTTACATAAACAGACATACAGACCAATGGAATAGAATTGAGAGTACAGAAATAAACCCATATATTTATGCCAATTTATTTTTGACAAGGGTGTCAAAACCATTCAAAGGGAAAAGAATGTTCTCTTCTAAAAATGGTGCTGGGATAATTAGATATCCATGTGCAAAAGAATGAAGTTGGACTCCTAACTTACACTACATACAAAAATTTACTCAAAATGGATCAACAGCCTATGTATAAGAGCTAAACTATAAAACCCTTAGAAGAAAACATATTTATCAATCTTCACAACTTTGGATTTTGCAATGGATTCTTAGATATGGCACCAAAACACCTGCAACAAAAGAAAAATAAACTGGACTTCACAAAATTAAAAACGTTTGTGCATCAAAGGACTTCAGCAACAAAGTGAAGAGACAACCTCTAGAATGAGAAAAAAAAATGTGCCAATCATGTATCTGATAAGGGTCCAGTATCCAGAATATATAAAGAACTCAAAACTGAACAACAAAAAAGACAACCCGATTCAAAACCAGACAAAGAATCTAAATAGACATTTCTCAAAAACAGATATACAAGTGGCTGACAAGCTCATGAAAAGCTGTTCGACATCATTTAGTCATTAAAAAACTAACACCAAACCAGTTGCCACAGAGTCAGTCCCGACTCACAGTGGCCCCTGTGTGTCGCAGAGCAGAGCTGTGCTTCAGCGTTTTCCTGGCTGAGAGCTGTCAGAAGCCGATCGCCAGGCGTTCCTTCCCACGCGCCACTGGGTATAGCCTTTCAGTTACTAGCCAAGCCCTTAACCATGTGTACCACCCAAAGGTCCACTTACTGCCAGAATCAGATAAATCTCTTAAAGGTGTAGATGAAGAAGGAAGCAAGTCCTGAGACTGAGATTATAAATTGGACAGTGACTGGGATTTAACAGCCAGACTACAGAATCGTTTACGTACAATACCCTCCTGTCAACAAACAGCATCAGAACGGGGGCCCTGGTATTTTCTCTGAAGGATTCAGATGTGAAGCCATTCTAATAAGGGATAGTCATAAAATGGGCTAAATGAGCATCTCATTTTTATTCCACTATTACATTAGTTTCCTTCACTACCCTTCTCAAACTCTTTCATATCACCTATTGGATATTTATTATCGTATAAATAAATATCTCATTTTCAAACAGGTACTGAAACAAAGAATCACACCAGTCGTAACAGCAGAGAGGAAAATCTACTTGCAGCTGTACATGGCCATCTGGCCTTACTCCCTTGGGAGCATGGATCCAGGCAAGACAGCCACTACCAGTGTAAACAAGTATAGCAGGGACCCTATTATAATAATACACTGTATCATAAAATAACCTGTACTGTTCTAGAAGTCACTATATATAACTCTTCACTATTTATGGCAACATATTATGTGCTACAGCTGAAGTAAAAATTTAGCATAAGAATATGGAAAAGCAAAAACATTAACTATTCATAAATTGCAGAATTGAGAGATGATTTTTTTCAGCAAGTTCACTCTTAAACCACACAAGCAAATCAGTAAAATCAGTGACAGTTAAATTATTAAAACCAAGAAAATTTAAATAGAATCCAACACAAAAAAAGCCAAGAGCAAAGCTTTAAATATACTTTAAAAGTTTTCCAACATCTTTTTCATCAACATTTAAATAAGACTTGGTCTACCAAGTGACTTTCTCTTACCATTTGAAAGCAAAGTTTCTTTTAAGAAGAACAAAATATTTCCTTTGGTTATTTTGTATAAAAGACATACTGTTAAAATTCTACTGACTGAAATCTGCAT